ATAAATAAGCACAATTCTGAGTTTGCTCATACTGATAACCCATGGTAAAAATAAGCCAAGTTCAAACCATGGCTTCTCTTTGTGGGTTGTTGATTGCTAGTAACCAGGAGTTCTTGGTTTACCCATAATGAGATCTCATGATTCAGCAAACCATGATTAATATAAATCTGATTTGTTTTCTGTATTTGAGCTATTCGTGTTTAAGTGAGCCAAAATAGTGGCTGTCACTGTATCTTGTGGCAGTGAATTTTTTCACATAATTACGTATACATCAGGTTCTCCGTCATGCTCTGTATGGTTTTTATACAGGATCCCTCTTTCATAATTGCTTCCATTTTCATGATCTGTGTAAACTTTTGTGACCATCAGTGGTCCTGGCTAGGTGAGAAGGAAAAATAATCTGTAGCTCTTCAAGAAGAAGATGCAAATGAGAGGGGGTAGCTTTAAATAACAAGGAACAAATGAGTTATTAAATAGCATAGAACAAATTTTATGTATTCATTTTATTATTTCCTCCAAGGCAGGATGTACATGATTTTCCCCCTCTTTCATTTTATCTGCGCAATAATTCTGTGAGGTAGGTTGGTCTGAGAGCCCTTGACCTGCCTGAAGTCATCTAGTGAGTTTCACAGGCGACTGGGGGCTTGAGCCTGGTCCTGGTCCCAGTTTGAATGCTCTAATGATCTTATCTCCTAATTAGAAGTTTGCTCCTAATCAGTTAGCTGGAAGTTTAAGATTACCAAACTACTTAAAATAAGGGGTGCTTTTGAAGCAACTGGCAGAGTGGTCTATACTGAAAGAGTGAATCTGCCTTTTGAATAAGTATTTTATCTTCTGGATGCACCTGTAGCAATTTGGCTCTACATGCGTGTTAAGAGCAAATTCAGGATCTTCAGCTTTTTTTTCTGAATGAAAACTTTTGATTACACAGAAGCTCTTTTCAAGCTAATTAAAATGAACTATTTATTTGTAAATCAGATCAGTGGTTTTGTCTGGGGCCAAGACTGCAGGCCTATGATTGCATGAGAGTAAGTCCCTCTGAACAGTATGAGGCTCAGTTCTATGAATAAGCACATGCAAGATTAGACTGTAAGCCTGCTAAAGCAATTCAGTATGATTAGTGCTTAATTTAAACGTTTTGGCTGGATGTGTTTGTGGATTTTCTTGTCAGTTCCTGTACTTTCAGCTGGTTATAATTAGATTAGCCCCGAACTAAGGTTTTCTTTTTTGAGTTATGTATTCTTCAATTGCTGCAACAGTAGGTTATACTCGAATAGCAGAAATCATTTTCATTCTAAAATAAGGCAGAGTAATAGGCACATGTGTAAGCCAGGGTGGGAGGCTTTTTGGTAGGTGAGCTGCCTTTTTTGGCTTTGTATAAGTAAATTGCTAGTTATTCTAAATTTAGGTGCTAGTATGTTAGAGACTTGATACAGGCTCCTTCCATGTTAGTATTCTGAGATTTGTTTTCCTGTTTCCATGACTTTCTTTTCTTGAAGTTCTGGTTTCTCAGTATAAGTAACCTATTTGCACACCTCCATTCATTTAACCCGCATGGCTTGCTTTGATTTCTCAGTCCTAGTTTCCTTTAACCTTCCTGCTTTTAGAAATGTGTTTTTTCTAGTTCATCATTTGAATCCAGAGATGCCATTGTATAACCAGAATGGGTTTCTTCTTACTCAAAGGACTCTGATTTGCATTGCCTCCTCCTGCACTACATTCTGTGGTGTTTTGGTGGTCCCCTAACCCTCAGTAGCTTCTTGAGGGAGGTGAGCATTTCTCAGGGAAGTAGGAAAGCACCATTCTATGAGCGTAACTTCAGTTGCACAATTTGGATTCTAAGCCATTGCCTTGTGCTATAGATTTCCTCAGCCATAGACTTCATGTACCAGAGACTAATTAGAAAATGATGGGTGGGTTAAGAGGGAAGAGAAGTTGATGACATTGCCCATCCCATTATTAGTTGAACTTCATAGACTGGTCAGTTAACCTGGTCATTATATAACTTCATTATGCAGGTGTTGGCATGCACTGGTACCTGCATGTGGCAATTTTGCCCTGGTCATAAATATTGAAACAAATGTAATGCTACACTGAAGGGGTAAATATTATTCCTACAGTTCTGACAGTTAATAAGTATCTGAGCACAAAGAATTATGCAGATCCTGTTGAGGCTTGGTGTCAGACATTTGTATGCAAGTGGGTTTGTGGATGGGGCAAGTCTGGTCTTACTTCCTCTCTATGTATACAGTATATCACAGAAGTGAGTACACCCCTCACATTTTGTAAATATTTTATTATATCTTTTCATGTGACAACCCTGAAGAAATGACACTTTGCTACAATGTAAAGTACAGCTTGTATAACAGTGTAAAATTGCTGTCCCCTCAACACACAGCCATTAATGTCTAAACCGCTGGCATGAAAAGATATAATAAAATATTTACAAAATGTGAGGGATGTACTCACTTCTGTGATATACTGTAACTCAGGTGTGATCTCAAATATGTGTGCAAAAGGCCCAGGAGACTGAGTGAACAGGTGCAGTGGTCCAAGATGCTACAAAGAAGAGTACTTTCATAGATACATACCAAAAAAAAAAAAAAAAGATTGCTAAGTCATTCGACAGTTGAGTAAATGCCTTCCTATCCCTTGTTGTAGCAAGACAGTGAAGGAAAACCCAATCTGCTATATTTATTTCCTCATAAGACTGGAGTACAGGTCAATGACATAAATTATCTCTGGTTGTAACAGCCCCTGAAATCATCTAACCATAAAATGTAGATGTGAAGTGGTCTTACTCTGGGAAGAACCCAGGAGTCCAAACATAGGTTTGGTTGGTCTTGCATCCTGCGCGTCTAAACTTCAGAAGGAACTGTAGCACTTTTGAAGGGCAGCACAGTATCAGGAATGATCCCCTTCTCTTCCCACCATCAAGCTTGGGAGGAGGGTAGAAGGTCGTCATCTGGCTACAACTGAAGGAGAGTAAAGCAGACATACTGACCAATTTGTGGAAAAGTTCCTAGCTACAAGGAGTTCCAGATCGGACTGTAGAATACAAATCCAAAAATATTATTTATGGGTAGTATACAAAGTTACTAGGGTAGATTCATTAAAATCAGTTGGATTTATGTTAATTATAATTGCGTTTCAGTTCAGTAGATTGAGTCTGAACAGGAATAACATTGGATACCACCCTATGAGATTATCAAACCTAGATTTCTTTTTAATTTTTAATTATTAAATTTTATAATAACTTACAATAGAACTAACAAGTAAACATACAATTAAAATCACATTATAATATAACAAAACCATGCATTCCACCACTGGTACCATTAGATATATGCTAAATCATTTGCTTTTTCAAGTGTGTCTGCAACTTTGGTAAGGGGCATTGAGTTTTGTGATAGTTCAAATCCTTTCCTTTTCATTAGCACATGCTCAATAAAGCTTGCTTTCAGAATCAACCACTGCAGAATGATTCTGCAGTGGTTCAAGGGATGTTATTTCATGTATCTTTTTCTTATTTTTATACTATCAGAGTTTGAGCATTTTTTAAATTTTTTATACTGCCCAGTAGCCAAACCACTCTGGGCAGGTAACAAAACTTACAAAAAGACATACATACAAACAAAATTAATTTAAAATCACAAAGTCACAATAGTAATGACAATTGAATTGACATAGAAGCATAGCAGCAGTACAGAATAAAATACAATTTTAAAAATTGTTAAAAATTGTTAAAATGCTGGGGAAAGAAAAAGGGCTTCACCTGGTGCTGAAAAGAATACAAAGTAGGCACCAGGAGCACTTCGTTGGGGAACTCATTCCACACCTGGGTTCCACAACTGAAAATGTTTTCCTTCTGGTAGCGACCCATCTCACTTCTTTTGGAAGAAGTTCCCAAAGGAGGACTCCTAAAGATGAGTCTGGGTAGGTATGGGATGAACCAGTCCTTCAGATAATCTGATTGCAAGCCATTTAGGTCTTAGAATGTTAGTACTAGCACTTTGAATTGGGCCTGGACTTCAGCTGGCAGCCAGTATAGCTGAAAGAGGACTGGCATAATATGTTCTTGTGAGCCAGGTGCCATTAACAGTCTTGCTGCCCTGTTTGTGGCTGGATTATCTTTAGATGCATGTCTAATCATGAGTATTTTATTTTCCAAGTGAGTTGTGGCAGATTTCTATTGCCTTCTGCATTGCATTTTATTATGATGGTTTCCTTTGGACCAGCAGTTTTCTGAAGCCCCATTGGCATGACTTGCCTTGGACTCTGATTAGTACTGACACTGCTGCTACCCAAGGTCAGGTGGAGGTTCGAGGTGATTTAATTCCCCAAGGTTCCACAAGTCTCCTAGTCAAGTGACTTTGTCCCAATTGTTGGCTTTCCCAAAGGTTAGGTTATTTATTGCCGCTTAAATCTGTATACGTAGCTGAGGTACTTGCTGGCCAAATTCACCCAAGTCAGCCCGTGAGCCAAGTCCTCCTTTGTCTTTGTAGTGTTTTATGTTCTATATAGTATTGCCTTCAGGAAATTACCCCAATGTCTCCTATCAGCCAGAGAGAACAGGCTTTTAAAAATTTCTCCTCCTTTCAGCCATTTTATCCAAGTTTCAAATTCTTCCCTTTGGAGTACTCCTGTTCCCATATTATTGACTCAGATAAACATAACATCTAAATAATGTAGTCCATAACTTGTGCCTTTTTTGGAAGCCATCCTTCTGATATTTAAGGGCGCAGAGTGCTGCACCATTCTAATGTCTACAGTTGTTGGCAGACCTGAGTGCTGGTGACTAAGGAAACAGACTGTTGTGTGGGGCTTTGTGGTATAAGCAGAATGGGTGCATTGCATGATACTGCATTCCCTTGGCTGACTAGGAGAAACTCTTGAATATTGCATGTTTAGTAGTTTCCTTAATGTATGATAAAATAGCTACATACACACACGCATATATATATTTAACACTGTGATTCTTTTTTTCCCTTCCCCAACAGCTGGCTTACCCCTTGCTGTTCTAAACTTGGCAAAAATAAAGCCGTATCAGAGGGGCTTTTTCTGTAATGATGACAGCATCAAGTATCCGTTCCATGACAGTACCATCACATCCACTGTCCTCTACACAGTGGGCTTCACTGTGCCTGTTTGCTCTGTAAGTAGCTAAATATATAGGCAGCTGTTTGGGGAAAATCTTTTGTGTGTGCTTAGAACATCATTTTATCGCATCTGAATCAAGCTGACATAATATTTACAATAGTCCAGAATCATACGATACTGCAAAGATGTTATTGCTTATTTGTCTAAGGTAATTGTGCTTCCTAGCCAGGAGTCCTTTTGGCATGTCTAGGTGATAACTTCGCATTTATACTTGTCAGAAAATGAGCTGGTAGGGTGGGACTTGAACCAAAATTACAAGAAGCTAGTGTTAAAATAGATGTACATACAAGCTAATTGGGAAGAAAATATTGAATATTACTGGGAAAATGCTTGCTGTAATTGAAATATCTTGTGTTGGCAATTAAGGCTGAAATTCCATATTCAGTTAACTCAGAGTAAATCCTATGGGACTACTCAGTGGGACTCAATTTTGAATAGGCATGTATCGATTGACTATTACAGATTTTCCCAGTCATACATTATACATGTGGCAAACCTTTGGAGCCTTCAGAGTCTGCTTTATAATGACACTTGAGCACAAAGAATTGGTGGAGTGCCTACCAGAAAATAAAGTGGGTGTTATTAATTCATGACTGAACAATGAGTAGCTGGTTTGACCCGGGCGTTACCTTATTTATCACCTTTTTTCCAAATAGGTTTATGTTTAACATACAGCTTGTGTTTGCAGTGAGCCAGCTGGTAGATGCAAAACAAGAGTTAGACATAAAATGTACCCAAGAGCCAGTAGTGGGACTGTTTTTGATAAATATTAGTTATTGTTCAGCACCAGGCTTAAGATTGTTTTGTTTTGAACGGGAGTTAAGTGGTTTGACAGGTCGAGCTCAAAATTGTCAATTCTGGAATCAATTTTGAGTATCTCCCTGTCCAGCCTCAAAAGTGTGGAAGCAAGTTAAAAACTTTTAAAAGTCCCATTTGTTTCAGGAAGGTTGAGCCTTCCTTAGCTTTGTCTCATTAACTTGGTTCCCATAATTGTCCATTTTCACCAGACAAAAAAACCATACCTGTAGCCTGATACACTCAAACAGCTGAGAGACCAATAAAATTGGTCCTGGGAGCACCACATCCAAGTTGTGGGTTGGGGTATGTGTGTTTGTATTGGTTCCCCATGTAGAAATTCCTTGTCTGTATAAAGTTAGATAATGGGAAGAAGGGTTCTAACCTTGACTTCCCCTTCATATGATAGTTTTGAATGTGCAGGGGATATTTGCATAAGGAAACTTTCAGCCATGTGGTTGCTCCACTTGCAATCTGAGGTGGTATGTCTCTGAGAATGTTTAACCATCTCAACTACTATTTGTGGAAACTGGATGCTAAGAAACTCAGCAAAGGCACCAGGATCTAGGTCAGCTTTCCCCACCCTGGCACTTTCTTGAGGTTGGACTCCAACTTCATAATCACAATGTTGGCTGGAGTGTGTGGGACGGGAGCTGTAGGCCTGTACATTTGGAAGGCACCAGATAGGGTAAGGATGATCTAGGTGATCATTTTAGCACCTCATCATCTATTGAGTCCATATGGATGATCTTGTACTATTTTATATCTTCTAATAATTAATTATTAATATTTGCAGTTTTATCAGAAGACACATGAAACCATGGTTACTTTAGTAAAGCCTGTTTTGTATGAAAGTTTGAACCCAAGCCTTCCCATAAATATATTTATTTGGGGTCAGTAAATCAAGATCTAAACACTACAGTTGAAAGCTTATTTGCAAATACCAGTGGCATGCTGTTAATATTTGAATTCAGAAGATGATTCCCAAAACTAAAGTTTAGGGCTATTGCTCTGCCTGAAGAGATTGCTCCACCATGGGAAATGGTCCTTAATAAACTCAGTGTTGAGCAAATGGGAAATGGTTTTAGGAAAGGAGTTGTAAATCATGATTTCCCTGTTACACATATGGAAGCTCAAATAAGAATGTGAATAACTATTATTAGCATAAACCGTATCTTCACACTGAACTAGTTTAAATGCAACATTTTACCATAATATAGTATGGTATAACCCTAACCCTAAGACAAGGTAAGGCATATTTTTGTTGGCTTCCCCTCCTGTTCCTTATCTCATGCAGCTATAAAAAGGAAATTGAGTGGATCTGTTTCCATTTTAGATTAACTGCACTTTAACTTAAACTGTAGTTAAGCTTGACTATAGTTAGTGGAAACAAGCCAGCCACTAAACTTTGCTTTGAAGTTAGCCTGTTTCTCTTACCAGAGTTAATGCTACTCATAGTTTCTCAACTTTGAAAAGCAAGCCAGCATTAATCAATGAATAGAACTGAATGCTTCCAAACTTGCAGGAATGATAGAGGAGATTAGTGAGCAAATGCAGGGCTTAGGCTTGTTCTCATAATGCTAAACTGTAGCTTAGCATTGGGTCTGGACCAGCTCATTAGATATGAATCCAGCTTGTGACTCTGCTTGTCCCATGGAAAGGGGTTACCCATCTCATGGAGAAACTCAAGTTTGCCAATTAGTATAATACTTTATCTCTAAAATTCGGAATGCTTGATACAGCCCCATCATATGTTGTTTATTCGGAAGTCAATTCTACTTTGTTCAGCAGGACTTATTTCCAAATAAGTGCAGGGAGAATTAGCTGTGGACTTGGGTTCTAGTTCCCACTCAGCCATGAAGCTGAGAGCATAAATTTGGGCTAGTTCTCTGTTTAGAGTATCTCACAGGGTGATTGTGAGAATATAAAAATGGAGAGGAGGAAGAAGAGTATGTAAGCATGGGGAAAATGCAAGAGGGGAAATGCGAGATAAAAAATAAAAGAATGAACTAGGGACCCTGGCACAGACAGTGAACATGTGCCAGCAGTATTCCTTGTTAAAGCATTTCCATGGATATCCACATTTATTCATTTTTGAGCTGTTGAAAATGAAACCAAACTGCAAAGACTGTGCTAATATGTTACATTAAATTTCTTTGGAATTAATATTTTGTTTACAGTCTTCACTCCTCAAAGACAACAATACTCATATGTTTGTTTGCTCTTTACTTCAGGCACACAACATTACAGTGTTAATACGCTAAATCTCTGTAAAAGCAAATAAAAGCACTGACCCTTAAGTTTTTACATGCAGTTGACACTCAATGCCCAAACAGTTGTTTCAGCTAAAATGTGCTGTTGGAACACGGGGATGTCACTTGCCTTTTGATAGCTTTGTATATGAAGAAAGCCACTTGGGTTTAAGGTATGCATTAACGTAGAGCCGAAATATATCTTGCCAATCCTGTTGTGTATGTGCACACACTGTATTTGCTGTGTGTAAAACTAGGAAGTAAGGAAATGTATTTATTAAGAACATAGAAAACAGTTCATCACTTTTTAAGTAACATATTAAACAGATGGAAAAAGGTAGGAAAAATATCTGTTGGGATTTTTTCTTTTGCTTCATAGAAGTATACATCTGTTTTAGATCAGTGTACTTTGAATAACAGGTACTGTGAAAAGATTCAGAGAAAGCATTTATGCAGTAGTAAGGAGAAATGGTCAGCATTATCTTGTATGTCTCCTTAGCAAGAGCCAAATGTTGTTCATGTTTGTCCTAGAAACTTACTACAGTCAGTGGAACTTGATGCATTGTAAGTTTGAGTATGATTGTAGCCTTAGTCACCTGAAACAAAAACATTGATGTCCAAGGGTAAATATACTATTTCATTTACTTAAATAAAAATGGCCTGGTTCACTAACTCATGGTCTGATTTGTTGAATCCTGGGTTGTTGTGATATGTGAATAGAGCTGAGAAAATCCATGGTTTGTTGGGTTGTGAACTACAGGTTATTTAAACCATGAGTTGTTACATGGAAACCCAAAACCATGGGTTTGCACACTTCCTTGTTATACCAGACTCTGCAGTGGCAGACCGTAGTGGTAAAAAAAAAAAAAATCCAGTTGCTCTACTGTCAGTACTATAGTACTGCAGAGGTATTTGAGATACAAGACAGGTGTGGATGAAGGAAGAGGTAACAAGAACTTAGGGTCTGAGAACACAAACCACAGATAGTTCAATTGTTTTCCATTTAAATCCTAGGTAGAACAACAAGCCATGGGTTGCATAATCCATGCAAACTATGTCAATGGCACATATAAACCCCAGATTTAAAAAATCACCCATACTCTTAAAAAAAAAAAAAAAAAGGAGGTCCAGTGGCAAAGGCTCTGCTTTCTTGGTAGCTTTGAAACCTGGTCCCTCTGAAGACATTGAGTTATGTATGGTTTTAAACCCTTGTTACTGTGCCCCCTCTGTATGACAGTTAAATGATGCTGATCTGAATGCAATTGATCTAAACTAAGACAATGAATAATAATGTAACTGGGTGCTTACAGCTTCTTAGCCCATATTTCAGTTTTGAATACAAGAATGAAGTGTTTTTAAACTAGTGTGCTCATTAGTTCGATAACTTTGCTATGAACAAATAAACATTGTTGCCATTTAAAAGTTATAACTTGCCATCTAATTCTGCACATACTTACTGTGAAATTTATTTATTTATTTATTTAAAACATTTCTATGCCGCCATTTGCCGAAGCCTCGGGGCAGCTTACAACATAAAATTAAAATATAATACATTCAAAATATAAAACAAATTAACAATATAAAATAATTGTTGTGGAGGTAAGACTAAGAGGTGGAGGAAGAAAATGATGTAAGCCACTTTCAGCTCTTTGAAAGAAAAAGGGTGGGAAATAATTCTAAGAAATAAATAAGGCCCACCCTTCTTGGGTTGAAATCAGTCTTGCTCTGTCCAGAAAGGCTTATTCTGACCAAATTTGCATAAAACTCAGGCTTTTGTGGGGGGAAAAAATAACCAAGCAACCAAATACAAATGAATAGAGATCATATATTAATATTAGCCAGTCTGTTTTAATCCAGGAACTTGGCACTTGCCTATGATAATGGTGCCCAGTCTGTCTTGTCTTCATCTCTCAGCTTTGATAATACAGCCATTGTCGGATGCTTCTGA